TTACTTGTCCTATATGTCGTGTACCATTACAGCCTGATGAATTATGGAGAAATGTAGTACCAGAAAATATATTGAGATCGGATATGATAGCTTTACAAAGATATAGAGAAATTCAAGTAAATGATAATTGAATACCACAACAAATAGTTATTGAAGAAGAAGAAGAATTTAATCAACAAGATGTTCTAAAATGTCCTATTTGTCATATACTATTACATCAAGGTAGAAATGTTATACAATTATGTAATAATCGACATGTGTCTCATTATATACATGAAGATTGTGCAAATGGATGGTATGATAGACCTCATATTGCACAAACTTGTATAGTGTGTTTGAACCTCTTTTACATCGTCGAGTAGGAAGAGATCATATATTACAAATAATGAGAAGAAATCAAGATAATAGATTGAATTTGGAACGAGCTAGAAGACGAATGGAAGAAAGACAAAGAGATATGATAATATTCCACAAATAAGAGAGGAGGATGTGGAGGTAATTGATAATATACAACAAATAGTTGTAGGAAAACAACCACCACCACTACAACAACAAAATGAAGATAGAAATATGGATCCTTAAGATTTTACAAGATGTTCTATTTGTAATACACCTTTAAGGGAAGCTATGAATAGTAATCCAGAAGTAGTGAGACTTTGTAATAATAATCAAAGACATATGGCTCATACGCATTGTGCAACTAGATGGTATGATAGAGATGGTGTTGATACACGTTGTGTTGTATATGGTTTAAATTTAATTTTACCATATGTTTGAGTAAATAGAAATCAAGTATTACAATATGATAGAGAAAGACAAAATCGTAGATTGAATATTGAGAGACATGGAAAAGAACATATGGAATTAGTAGCACAGAGAAGACAAGAAAGAATAGCAGCGAAACAGAGAGATTTACATAATATTCCACAATTAGATAGGGATAGAGAAGTAATTGATAATCAGTTAGATGCGCAACAGATAAATTTAGATGATAATCAAAATGTGTGACAAGGAAGATTACGAGTTGTAGATATGTTTGGAAATGTGATAAGAAGAGTTATTAATTGAATAAATATGCGATATTCATTTTGCCAGTTTTTTCAATAAATGGTTTTGGACCTCTTTTTTTATGAATATTTGATTCACATTTGTAATTATTTTTTTTACAGAATGAACATGGTTTT